GTGTGTGTGTGTGTGTGTGTGTGTGTGTGTGTGTGTGTGTGGCAGGGGAACATGGTCTTCAAAAGCAAGAAAAGCACACTGTCTATAACCGTGGTTCGATGTCAGCACTGAGACTGAACTCAAATCTGAATAGTGTTCTTCAATGTAGCATCGCTGACACAGGAAATCAGGGGAGACGCTCAGTAGGAAGTGTGCTTATGTAGTGTGGGAGGGAATTCGTTTGTTGAACAGCAAGCAAGGAGTACAGAAATTTGACATACGCTATTTACTATTTCTTAGGACACTGAAAAATAACACGATTGTGCTGGAGTTTTAAGTTTACTCGAATTTTCTCTGCGTATTTGTCAACATCCACCTTCATAAAATTTATAAAGCACCAGTTTGGTTCTGTGAGATGCTAACCTCTGGGGGTAGGATTGCTGTTTTCTGCTTTTATTCATCATTGGACTCCTTTTTAAAGCCAGGAAAGGGTCATTTCATGTGAAAAATATCCTTTCTTGAAAGCCAGCTGAGGGACTTGAAAGCCCTGCTTTAGATATTTGATAGCAAACAGTTTTGGCAAAAACTATGCCAAAGATGGAAGCAAAACTTTCTCTCATGCACTGTAATCCTTCTTTGGTCTCTGCCTGTCTTGCTGTGGAGACTCCAAATCAATTTCCTGGAGGGTGTGTACCTCTCTTCTCTAATTGCAATCTGATAGGGCTGAGAATCCTTGCACTTCCTTGCAGTCCACAACTATTTTCTTTGACCAAAGTTACTCCATAAAAATTAAAGGGACTAGGGGCCGGGGATTTAGCTCAGTGGTTTCACTGCCTGCCTTGCAAGCACAAGGGCGCGAGTTCGATCCCTGGTACAAAAAAAAAAAAAATTAAAGGGACTAGGTGGATCAAAGGCTGTGTGTTTTCAAAATGATGCTGTCATTTTTCTGGCACTCTGGACATTTAGGAACATTGAAGGGCAGAGGTAGGAAACTGGAGAGTTTCAGTGCTTTCATGAGGCGGGTCTCTCACAGTGGAGAAACCACTTCACAACATTTAATCGCTCAGGAAGGCTGGAGCCTTGTAGCTTTGCTAAAGGTGGTATCTTGTGATTTGATGAATACCACTTGGCATTCATAAGGAAACCCTTATTGCCCTTGTATTATTATTCTGCTTTCCTCTTTACCCTATTTATTAAATGCATGGCAACTTATAGGAGGCGTTCAGGTTCAGTTTGTCTTGCTACCTTCACAACCTACCCCAGAAGTATGCACACTTGCTCATACAGTGGTTCTCCCGTCACAAATCAACACACGGTGTCTGGAAGGGAAGTCATGGTAGAAGGGTCTTAGGTGGGTAGGCACTGTTGTGAGTGTTTCGTTGATCTTAGCACATTCTGTTCTCGTGACCACTCTAGGCGTGTAGTTATCTGTTCATCTCCCCTTTATACATAAGGGACTACAAAGCACAGAGAAGGTGAGCAAACTGTTCAGGCCACGGTCAGAACCAGAATTTGAACCATGAATCCCTTTTCAGAAATCATGCTGAGATTTGCTCATCAGTGCACATCAGAGTGATGATCTGAGAGAAATACGGAAGGTGTCTTCCTCGTCTTTTAGCTGACTCTTATATAATATCGAATTTCCAGAAACAGATACAATGGTTTTATGGCTGTTGTCCCTGAATTACAAAAGAAGTAGGAGGAAAGAGAAAGCATATCTATAGAGCCTAGGGTACCAAATCCAATCTAGACTCTGGAGTAATTACTTGTATTGGACCTCACTTGCTTACTTGGTGAAATAGGGATATGATAGTAGCATCTGCTTCATAGGGATGTCATTAATAGGAACGTATATAATACATTTAAAGTGCCCAGCACCATGCCTGACACATTCATGTTAGCTGTGATTATTTTGAAGCTGCCCTCCACCCTTTGTGGAAATAGAATGGTAACCGAAAATGACACATGGGTGAGGTCTATTAAAGAAAAGATTGCTAAATAGAAGGTAATCAGAGACATGAATGTTATGTAGTCAGTGGTCTGTTCAACCAATGGACTTGCTTCTCTACAACATTCTTCAGTTTGTGACTTACGAGAATTATAGGGAAATGGTGTTGTAATGTACTTTATTAGGTATTTATTATACTCTAGGGAGAATCCATGCTGTCCCCATTCCGAATTACTGCAGTACATCACACCTGCTCTAACCCCTCCTGATTCTGCTTCAGAGAGGCATAGTAGTCACCGAGCCCGGATTTACCTATCTCTTGCTGTTAATTAGCAGTGGAAAATCCTTTAGTCAAAGGAAGTGATATAAAGTGAAAAAAATAAAAGTAAGATGCTCTAAGGATATAAGAATACTCCTGGGTAAAGTCCTCTGCGTAACTGTTCCCACTGAGGTCTAATGTTTGGGGGGAGGGGCAATCCCAGGAGGGGATGTGGCAGGTGATGTGAGCTCCTTCTACTCCCAGCCCACCCCCAAATTCCCTTCTGTAAGTGAAATTATCTAATTTCTTCCTTCAAATTGAAAAGTTCTCCTTTCTTCTCTTTCACCACAGGAGTCCTAAACGCTACACAAGCCAGTGCAGCCAGTCTTTCTGAAAGCCTTCTTATGGAATGATAGGGCGGCAGTCCCCACTGGAGGAAACCTCACCCTTTACAGAGAACGTTCCCTGTGGCATCTGATGGGTTAAATTTTTGTTGCAGAAAAAAGGGTATTAAGTAGTCTTTCAGGAGGGAAAAATCCCCAATTGAGAAACTGCCATTTCTAAAAGATAAGCATTCATTTGCACAGCTTTATATGAAAAGAATAACTCAATGCTAGCAGTATGAGTGTATGTGGGGGGAGGGCAGGGACAGAGAGAGACAGAGACAGAGTGAGTTTGATTTGTTGCCTTTTGCCTACCTATCACCTATATAATGTATGTATCAGGCTGGTGACTGTCAATCACAGTTAATACAAGCCCCAGAGCACGGCCGGGATCCCTTTTACTATAGATCCATTTTTTGATAGCTCTCAATTGATCATGTCACATAAATCCAAAGGGAAGCATTTATATCATCTTTCAGAGGCATCGCTCTCCCGGTGTCCGACCCCCCACCAGCTCCCATCCCCTCAAAGATGCTTTGTGTGAGAAAGTGCAAGCTCCCATTCTGCCTTTATTTCTGTTCCCAATTGCTGTCTCCTTGGCTCCCCCTCAAACCAAGCGAGCAAAGCAAATGGCCCGGGTTCCCCCCCATCGCCTGACCTGCGTTGACTGGGAGGAGAGCGGGAGAGGGAGCAGCGAGGGAGCGCGCATTCCGGAGCAGGCTGCTTTGCCTCCGACCACAGGCTGTCTTGTGCAGGCTGCCCCTCTCCTTCAAAACCCTGCATCCCCTCCCCTAAGCAGCAGGCAGTGTGCCTCCTTTCCGCCACATTTGGTATGCATGAGCACCACGGCTGCAGGGAGAGGGGAGGTGGCTTTCCTAAGAAGGTTCAGGGGCTTGGGCAGCGCCACTTGACTAGTCTCCCAAGTTCCAGGAAGCCTCTGCCTTAATGGAATTCGCAGGTGTGGAGATGACCATGGGATGCCAGGGCCGTGGGGGACCATCTGTTTTCTAGGCATTGCTCAGGTTTGCAGTTTCTGGTTTTCCCGGTGGAATTTGGAAGGGGTCATGAATCAGACTGATGCTTCTCGACCCCTAAACTGGACCATCCGGAAGCTATGCCACGCAGCCTTTCTCCCATCTGTAAGACTTCTTAAGGTACTGTGACTTGCTGCTTCGAATGGCTCTTTTTATGCTTTTCAGGTTGAAATGCTGAACTTCGCACTTGGGCTGGGACGCACGTTTTGGGGAGTGCGAACGAACGCATGCATACTGGCTCTGCTGTCCATGGCTGGGAAAAGGTTCTCACCACCCCCACCTACCGCTGCCCTGTACCCGCCCCAGCCCCAGCCCTAGCCCTCGAGGATGATGTGAGCTACACTTGAGAATGGGCTTGCTGAACCCCCTCCCCAGCCTACAACAGAATTAATTAACTTCTCAGAGAGGGTGGGAACCGTAGTGGGCATGAAATCTCTTACTCCCCTGTGTTTGGCTCCTGGGCTTTTTTCCCTCCCTGGGGAAGCCCTTCGACCTACTTTCCCTTAAATGGAACCTGGGAGAACAAAGGATTCTCCTCACTATTTTCAAAGCCCTGTTGTTAGGTAGTCAGTCAGGTAAAGACAAAGAAATAAAGAACCTTATCACATAGGGACTTTTTTTGGTGCCCCGGATTTTTAAAAGAGACACGATAATTTCTGTCTCCTGAGCAAAGTCTGTAGTAGGAAAGTATTGTTCAGTATGTATGGAATGCCAGCTCTCTCTAGCTGTGAGTCACACAAAAGATCCAACTACACCTGAGCTGGAACAGCTACCTCCTGTCCTCAGCATTTCTCTTTCTAAAAGCAAATGTATTAAAGACATAGAAAAAGTGTACAGCTCCAAAATAATCTACTTTCATGGTATGCGTTATAGGAAATGGAATATGAATAAAATGTAAAGGTGGAAAAAAGAAAAAAAAATGTTGGTCTAGAAAAGGGAATGTGATAACCCTTTTATTTTGGAAAAGTGCCTATCTCTGAGTGATCTACAACCATTAAAGTTTGAAGAGCAGAGCAAAGTTCTTCATTCTCTAGCCCATATTATAAATGATCTTTCGATTTGATTACCACTGCCACTGAGGGAGTTGTCTACAGTGGAGGATTAATAAACTAGACCTGAATAAATCATACTTGCAGGTTTTTTTTTTTTTTCCTGAGGTGTTCTGGTTAAGTTTGATGTGGACAGTTAGTTCCATACAGCTAAGTAGTTCCTCACAACATTTTTGCCCATTGTCTGAGTTTTCCTGACCCTAATAAACACAAACTGATATTAACTTCCATAAAGCCTGTCCCCAAATGCTGTACAAACCCCCTTTGTGGTCGTCATGGTGATGGCTTGCTTCCCCTAAAGGGATATTTGGGAGGAAACACAGGTTTGGGGGTGGAGGTTGGGAGAGAAGCTTCCAAGGATGTATGTGCTCTTCCTGTATTGGAATGACTGGTATTGACCATGAGAAGGAAGGGGGCTAGAAGATTAACAAAGGCAAGTAACATTTCCTCCAGAATCAATAGTGAATCAAGGATCTGGGGCGAAGAGTGTTTTGGTGAATCTAAGTGTGACTGAGGAAGTGACTCTACTAATTCCATGTGCAATGAGAAATATTTTTTTTCAGTCAAAGTCATTCACTGGCTTTTCTCCCAAAATAATGCCTTTTAACTCTTAACAGTGTGTGTATATATTATTCATGAATACCCAATATATTATTAATTATAGCATAGTTTCAAATGGAAAATATTCTTTATTTACTAGTCACAAAGCTAGAGAAATACCTATTTGATTACTTATTTTTGAAAGAGTTCTGTCATGTTTTTAATTGAAAAAAATACATACACAGCACTAAATACCAGATGTTGTCAGTATTGTAACTGCTGCTTTCGTTGTCAGATAGCTCAGACCTACCACCATTTATCAACATGGTGCTTAATGACATTTCATCTCATAAAGTGCATTAGTGCCCTTCCAGTGCTTTCAGTATCTGAAAGATAGGATGCACGGAACAGGGGAAGTTTCTTTGCAAATGCTATCTGTAATTTTGAAAGAGCACAGCTCCATAAGGGACTTTAAATAGGGAGCACACTTCATACTCTACAGAGAAAAATAAAGTAATACCCACTCTTTTCAGCAATGGGAAAAAAGAAATAAGACCTACTTTTGTATATGAACAACTGCATTATTTACGTGGATGCGAATATTATGTGCCCCTCTGAATTGTGACTGTCTTACTTTTGTTTTCCTGGTACCTATGTGTTCTTGAGCTGATTTTGTCCTTCAAGTAGCGTAGCGTGGAAGTTCATGAGTAATAATTTGCCTTTTTTGGTACGTGTCCTTCCTGGTTTAGTGTGTACACTAAATTTTAGTGGTTACTTTTAGCGTTCCTTCCTCCTCTCGGACTCTTACTGCCCCTTCCCCAAACCAAGACCACCTTGTTAACATGAACCGTGGGTTCTCTGGGCACCCAGGAGCCTGTGGAAATCCTAAGCTAACAAAGCCAATCCTTTTACTCAACAGGTAAATTCCAAGCATGTGCTGTGCCCTGACTTGACAGTAAACACCCTTCTAGGGCATAATGGCCTGATTGGATTTTGTGAAACCCAGATCACTCAGCATTTCTGACAGACTGGGCTCAAGCCAATTTCCCTTCCTCTCCTTTTTCTTGAAAATGTGTGTTGCTTTGCTAACTTACTTTGGTACCAAATTAATACCTAGAAATGGCTTCATAATCCTATTTCTTGTACTTCCCATTTCCTAATAGAAATAGGATATGAAAGACTCAGAAGAAAGCCAGCCTCTAAACATAAATTAAACCCAAATAAGTGTTGGAACATACTTATTATGCCTTCTGAAAAACGTCTCATTTGTTGTTTTGTCCATCTCAGAACAAATTTTGAACATAACAGCCAATTAACATTTTGAATTTGGGGTTGCATTTGGAAATAACACTTGAAAATGAATTTCTGGACAGGGACTTGGTGACGATAGCCAAAAGACAGAGCCTGTTTTCAAAGGGATACAATTCACATGGGACCCTTTCCAAACTATTTCTCCTCTGTTCTTTGCTTCATCCTTGTGTGTGTTTCAAAGATTTCACTTTACCATTAATCACAAAAGAAGTCAAATTTGTTGCAGTAACAGAATGTTCTTAGCATATTTCATCTTCATTATCAAGTTGGTCTCTGCCATTGTTTTATTTGGAGATTTTATTTTGGTAACATGTTGAATTTGATGGTTATTTTTAGACAGCTTTCTTAGCATTGAAGTCTTGGCAGACTTTCTAAAGACTTCTGGAAAATGGGTTGTCAGGGGGAAAGGAAGACTGTATTTGTACCAGATTCTGGATAGTCACATCTAAGTCAACTTGTTAATGAAAACCAAATAATCTGTATCCTTCAGATTTTCAACATTTTATAGTGAGCAATCATGGTATGACTTTGCCTACTTGGAGCGATATCAGAAATAGAACACAGAAATTATATTTCAGAAAAACTAAGCCTAAGTACTGTTACAATCCCACTGCACTCCTATCTAGCTATGTGACCCTGGGTAAGTCACATAGACTGCATAACCTGGTGTTCCCTTCAAAATAAGAGGGTTGGGTCTTGATTTAGATGCAGAACTGTGACTTTCTGTCTCTGCTGTGCTCCATGGGTTTAGAAGTGCATGCAGTTTTTCTGGGTTGAAGGATTTGATGCTAAAATGGAAAAAAGAAATGGGTATAGAAAGTAGTAGTATTTAAATTAGAAGACTTTGCCTACTAGGCTATGGCATTTGACAGTTACCCTGAAACCAAGAAGTATAATTAGGGGAATTTTGGTAGTAAGATGATCTCCAGAGCTCTGAATCACCTACCTGCCATCTCTGGAGTACCTAAAATGGGGTGCAGAGGGGCACTGGAAGCTGAACAATTTGATTAGAGATGTGAGAATGTATAAGAACCTAGGCTACGGCACAAGTAGTGAAAGCAAAATACAAAGGGGCTTGTTACTTCCGTGAGTTGTGGTCAAGAGAGGTGTCTTTGCTGTTTGACTGGATGGTGGTCAACTTTCTGAGAATAAGGATCCTGAGAAGGAAAAGCAAAGCTGCCTCCAGTTTTTCTTCGGTGAGCTAGAAAGGGGATGTCATTTACCATCTCTAACACAACTGAGGCAAAAGTGAAGAGTATGGCTCCATACCTCACTCTTTAGTCAGTATGCACTCCGTTGTGTGCCCAATAGGACATATCTTTTAAGTAAATAATCAGTGGTACTACTTTTAGATTTTTTAGACTATATTTCTGTAAAACAATGCATAATTACATATAATAAATTACTTTGACCTATACCCCAAACTTTTCTGAGTTCCACTCAAAACGTTTAGACTTTTATGTATTTTTCCTTTTTGTCGTTCATACAGTAGGATGAATGAAACTTGTTAGCTCAAGAAAAAGACTTGAAAAAGTCATGATCAAGTTAAGGGATCAGATTGACCCAAATTCTCCCCAAGTGTTAATATTTTTTACTTCTATAATTTCCCACAATCATAGCCACTGTTTCCTGTATGTGTAACTCATTCCCTGAGCACTGTACAGTCCGAATTACCAAATGGATTTGGTCTGTTTTCTACAGCTGACACTGGGTATGAATGAAACTCACTTCCTTTTGATGCAGTTAAACTCCTGAAGAAACTGTCGAAATTTGCTTGTGATTACATTCAGTTTGTGTTTACAATCCTTGTGTGGAGCTGGGACGTGTACATAACTCATCATACCTCCTTTTGGACCCCCTTTCCTTCTCCTCCCTCCCTCTTCCTTCATTTCTTTATCTTCTTCCCATTTGAGAAATAACCATTTCCCTACTTCCTAACATCTATCTTTTATTTTGCTCCTTACTTATAATTTGAGTTTCTCAAATAAGAAAAACCATGTGCTATTTAAGTTCATGTGTCTGATTTATTTCACCAAACATTATCTCTCAAGGTGCATCCACTTTCCTGCAAATGGCTCGTTTATCTTTCTTTATGGCAGTGTAGTACTTCATGGTGTATAAATACCTCATTTTCTTTGTAAGGGAAGTAGAATAATATCGACAAATCAGGGTTTTGTGTAGATAGGTTATGTGTTCTTCCATACATAATAAGGAGCAGTT